CTTCAAGATATTTGGTAAATTTGAAGAGATAAAAAAGACATATACATATATAAATATGAATATTATGTTATAACTAAATATATACATTTATTTAAAAGTAGCACAATTATTTATAAATAATAAGAAATTGTAACAGCAATAAAGATAATTTTTTTAGTGAATATTTTGGTCACATTCAAGATGTGGTGCTAAAATGTATAAAATTGAGTTTCAGACAGCTATTGTCTATAAGGAAATTCAATCCCAGGAAATGTGAATGATCAAGGATTAGAAACATGGTTCCTTCATATAATTGTTCTGATTGTCCAACATACAAAGGTTTCATTCATATTATAGATACATTCTAACTTATGTAGTGGCTAAAAGCAAGACATAAAATTTCTGGCCTTCACACTAATTGCTTTGGCAGCCAAAGAGAACTGCTGATAGCATTCATGGTCTGTAAAAAGTTAGGGAGTATCTCTTTGTCTCTCTCACTCTATCACTTGTTCTCTCTTTCTCTCAATCTCTCTCAAACACAAACACACATCACACACACACATACACACACACTCACATATTCACTGGCATACACAACTTTTATAAAACTATTCTAGGCCGGGCGCGGTGGCTCACGCCTGTAATCCCAGCACTTTGGGAGGCCAAGGTGGGTGGATCAGGAGGTCAAGAGATTGACACCATCCTGGTCAACATGGTGAAACCCCGTCTCTACTAAAAATACAAAAAAAATTAGCTGGGCTTGGTGGTGCGTGCCTGTAATCCCAGCTACTCAGGAGGCTGAGGCAGGAGAATTGCCTGAAACCAGGAGGCGCAGGTTTTTGCAGTGAGCCGAGATCGCGCCATTGCACTCCAGCCTGGGTAACAAGAGCGAAACTCCTCCTCAAAAAAAAAAAAAAAACAAAAAACTATCCTATCACATTGGTTCAAACTTTAACATAATTCTATGATATAGTTTTTCAACAAACACAGTGCTTATCTGATTATGGCAGTAATATATATTCAATATAAAAAAATTAAAAACTCAGAGTAAAATATAAAAATAATATAAAATATACTCATTACCTATACAGCATCTTCACTTCATCATCTCCCTCCCTCCTTTCATTATTCATTTATGTACTCAAAATCAAAACTAAATAAACCACAATATAAATGCTGCACACAACTTAGTTTACTTACTTTACAACAGAAATTAAATTCAAACAAGGGCTATGTTTTACATATCTTTTTAAATCTTTCACAACATACAATTTAGCACAGGGTCCTGCTTCCTCTGCATGACAAGGATACCTGCTTCCTAGGTTCCTTATGCTTAATTTGGGATCAGGCCACATGTTCCAATTCAAATAAAATTTTCAGGATAAGGAATGCATTAAAAGATAAACTCAATATCAATCCTAATGCTTTTTTTTTTTTTTTTTTTTTGATTTGGAGTTGGTTCTTTTTGCCCAGACTAGAGTTCAATGGAGCTGTCTCGGCTCAGTGCAAGCACCACCTCCTGGGTTCAAGCAACTCTCCTGTCTCAGCCACCTAAGTAGTTGGGATGACAGGTGCCTGCCACCACGCCCAGCTAATTTTTTTGTATTTTTAGTAGAGACAGAGTTTCACCATGTTGGTCAGTTTGGTCTCCAACTCCAGGCTTCAGGTGATCTGCTTTCCTCAGCCTCCCAAAGTGCTGGGATTACAGGTGTGAGCCACCGTGCCTGGCGCCTAGTGCCCTTTTATCAGGGCAAAATAGCAAAATGACATACTACAAACTATAAATCTATTATGTACTCTTATTTTCTAGGAGGTCTATCAGCTACATTCTCACTTTTTAAATATAAAAGAATACTATCAGCCTCAGTTATGTTACTAGTATTTGCTTAGATCTATAATCATTAACAAAATGAAATGTCCATTATGGAATTGGCCATACATAAATTTTATTGCTTCATCTGAAAACATCCCATCAATCTGACAGAGAAATATTTATAGATTCAAAACTTAGCCAAAGTTTTCAATTAAAAATATTGTTATATATTATTAAAAGTAATAATGATATATTGTCCTTATAAATAATTTCACATATAAGGATAATAGAGTATTCAATTTTAGAATAAAACATATATTAAACAATCCAATCCATGTTTTCTTCCAACTCCCTTATGCTTAATTTAAAAAATACATAGAAAAGCAGAAAAAACTGTTCTTAATTTAAAATCCAGAAGAGTATTATTTTTTAATATGGACAGCCTAAGAATAGCTCAAAAATTTTTTCCTTCACTTTTGTCTGAAACTCCTATATAAGCAACTATGTATGTAAAATCGTAATAGGCTAATCTAACTGGTAGATTAGCTGTAACAAAAGTGTTCTTTTCCTTTTGACTTTTGCTTACATGTTCCTCTTCTACTTACAACCATCACTACTGCCTTCTTTGAACTTAACTATGTAACTGCAAACCCAAAAATCTGGATAAAAATATTTCCTCAAGTTATTTATGTCACAAATTCCAGTTTAGTTCTAGTTTGTGTTAGCCATGATTTGCCTAGTCCTGATTTCAGCCCTGCATGGTATGGGCTCATGATTTTATAGGGATTAAAAGAAAATTCTGAAAATCATTTTCAGTCATACATAACTGAATGATTAAATAACACTAACATAAAAGTGTCTCTAATTAAGGGAGGTCTGAAAGAAGTAAAGAACTGGGAGGAGGTGGGGTCCTGGCTCACACCTGTAATCCTAGCATTTTGGGAGGCTGAGGTGGGTGGATCACCTGAGGTCAGGGGTTCGAGACCAGGCTGGCTAACATGGCAAAACCTCATCTCTACTAAAAATACAAACAAAAAAAATTAGCTGGGCATAGTGGTAGGCACCTGTAATCCCAGCTACTTGGGAGGCTGAGGCAGGAGAATCACTTGAACCTGGGAGGCAGAGGTTGCCATAGGCTGAGATCAGGCCATTGCACTCCAGCTTGAGAGACAGAGAGAGACTCTTTCTCTCAAAAAACAACAACAACTAAAAGAACTGGGAGGAGACCTAGAGAAATAATGCATCATTGCATCTGGAGGCACACTGGAGGATAGGAGCATGGTAAGAAAGTGAAATATACGTGGTAGGAATGTGAAATATATCAGAAAACTGATAAAACACTATACAAAAAGTAAGTTTATCTGCCATAATTCCCATTCCTTCAGCATTCCGAAGAACTGAGTCACTTCCAAGAGGAGAAATCTGATAAAGCTTTCTAGCTGTGGCCATAGGGTAGTCATCTCTGTGAATATAGTACATTAAAGTCAGCCCCACCGTGCAGTATCACTTGACAAGTCTGAAATTCCACTGGGCTTCAGAAAGTTGACTATGTGATGGCCAATAATGACCGGATAATCTCATATTAGAGGCAAGGCATATACATTTATAAGACTAAGAGCTATAACAAGCTTGTGAAGAAAACCAATTTATAGCATTACAGGTTAAACTGGAAGTGATTTCCTCTGTTAACTAAAATCACATTGCTAAAAAGTACATGGTTTATGGATGTTTAATGTGAAAAAAGACAAACAGTGAATACTTTCCTGCTCAGTGTAAACACTAAATAAGAATGAAAATGGAATGTCTTATTATATAAAGTAATACCAATACAATGATATGCAATCTACTCCTCTGGCACAATTTGAAATGTGCTCTTTTACTACAGAGTCACACTCTTTTTCATTTCAATGTGTTTTTGTTTAAAATAGCAGTTATTTATATATACCATTTTTTAAAATTCATTTTTAGGCTGCAGATTCACAATCTCCATAAATGCCAAAGGATGGTAGTCAAATTGAGACACACTTGAAGTAAACACCGTGCTAACCAGCAGCAGTGTTCAAGAGATTATGCTGCTAATTTTATGAGAGTGAATACTATTGTGAATTATTCTGCCAATCCCCAGTGAGGTTTATATCTCACATTATTGAAGATTGACAATGTCTTAATATATGCACAACTTGAACATTGTTTGGGAAAAAGCCAAACTAATTCATCTATCTTCTGATCAATCAGTTTAGCCAAGCAAAGCACAAAAGAAATTCACATCCTTTGCTGCCATTAATAGCAACCAGTTAACAGAAAAACAAAGGTGGGGAGACGTTTACCTGTCTGTGCATCATGAATGCCAACCAAATCTTGAATAAGAACAATGAAAAGTTAAAGAAAAAAAATGAAAGAAATAAGAATAAAATTCATTTTTTTTGAATAGCAAATTTCTAGGGAGGTAATTTTTTTCATTTTTTTCTTCTGTCGAATTTAACGTATTATATATATATATATATATATATATATATATATATATATATATATATATCCTACGTCTCATTATAGGATATTCAGAGATAGATTCTGCCAATACTGAAATATCTAAGACAGTTACAACCTGGGGCACTGCAAACATAATGTGTTAAATGGATCCTAAGTAACCTGAAGATTAATTAATCTTTCTAAAGTGAATAAACCTTACTGTTAGAGCAAAACGTAAGAAGTCAAATATCAATTTTTTAAAATTTTCTATTCTTTCCAAAAAATAGTTGGTAAAATAATGCAATGCTTAAAGTGCCAACACCAAACAACTTATGGCTGCTACTTTTGACCCTTTCACGGGGCCAACATTTCTTGTCTTTTTTATTTCTAGCTTTTTTAGAGACCTTTGTTTGCATATATTGAAGGGTTAGTAAATCCAGTTTAGTATTTCTTCGACAGCAATTAAGCATTTACCTAGTGAGAATAAATACTCAAACAGAGGTCTTGCATTACATTTTCTACTAAACTGCATTCCTTCTACCATGGTGCAATCTTTATTAAGAGACAAAGGACTTCTGATTTCACTTTTGTAAGCTTGTTTTAGTTAATTATTACACGGAGATACTAACTTTTAAAAATAAACTACAAATTAGCATTATTCACCTCTGTGGTGTGCTTTCTTTTCAATGTCATAAAAAATCCTGGCTTGCTCTAAAGGTCAAGCTAAAAGCAACCTTACCATCATCGTACTGGCCCAAGCAGATTTCAAAGAGAGTGCCCAGGATGATCCCTGAAGCTAAACATGTCCAGAGATAAAACTGTTGAAACATCTTCTGTCAAAGTTCAAAGCCGATCTGAAATAAGAGGTGGTAGAAAGAAACATTGACATGTTCATTAATCTGTTATAGGTAAACACAATTGTCACAGCACGGAAAAGCCTTAATGCCTTCATAGTTAATTACCTGTGCCAAGCTATCCCTTAACAAAGTAACACATTTGATTAATGCACTGGAAATGTTTATCAACATAATTTTGCAGAAAAGTAATCTCCAGTAAAAGACATGTTTTCTTTTACTTAATGTGCAAGCAAGTAGGTGGAGAAGTTAACCTACTAATAATATAAGAAGCATGTTCTTTAAAATCAAGGACTTATGGATAAGTCAAATGTTAATCAGTTTAAGTTACTAAACTTACGTTGTCTACAGCAAAATTTTACAAAAAAGTGTAAGACGGTAGGCGAATACCTACATGAGAATTTAAATGAAAATTTTTCTTATACAATTAAGTAGAAAAGCCTATCATTAAAATGTAATTCCTTTCTAGTAGAGTGATCAGAGATTGACTTAACTATGCCAGGAAAGACTAAGAAAAATCTGTCAATTTTCACTACCTCTGTTCTATGAAGCATTTGGAGGCATTTCATTTTAATTCTCTTGTTTTACTTTTCAATCTCTCGGTAAGTGAAAAAAAAAAAAAAAGAAAGAAAGAAAAAGAAAAAGAAAACAACTGATTGAGAAATTAGTGACCTGTGAGCACATGAGAAAGTCTTATCGAAAGAATGACATGCTCAGTTTCTTTGTAAATTTAGGAAATTATTCACACAGAATTGCTGAAAATGACCCTGATTATAAATTGTGGCAGAATAGGGATTAGAACACTGTTTCTCTAATTCAGAGGTTCCAAACTCAAATGCCTACAGATGACAAGCAGACAAAGGAAAAGAATGAATTAGCCTAAGGGGACAATAGTCATGGTAGAGGCTGTGATAAGCTGTGCAATGCAAGGTTTTCTAAAGAGACCAGCTGGTACTCAACTTCTATCAATGATTGTTACGTAGGAACGCAAACCAATGTTGCCAGGTCTTCTGATTTTCAAAGAGAAGGCAGAAATCCAAATTTTCATGTGGTTTCCCAGTGTTTAGATGATTGTGCAATCTTTATAAGAATAAATGCTTCTAGCAGGTAATATTGATGCCAGGGTTCTCCAGTTTTTTCTCTCTGCCCAGGATTCTCTCCACTAGACCAGCTGTAGATAAGGTTTATCAGAGTGTACAAAAGAATTATTTTAATTCTGCTTTCGCCTACATTTTATCCATGTTTGCTTTACTGTCAAGTGTTTTATAGTGTTTATTTGTCCAGTAGCATATATACATATATATGATGCATTATAAAATTAAAGGTGTAAGCTCTTTTTTTAAGCTAATGGGATACACAGCTCTTGAACTTAAAAGAGCACTGCTTTAAATCACATGCATTTTAATATGAAATCTATTCTTCATTTGTTTCTTTAAGAGGAAAATAAGAGCCTTCTTTTTTGGCTGGCCCTTCTACATTTTTTCCTAACCAGCAAAGTGCTTGGCCCCTGTATTTATAATTTCTAGGGACAGATAGCTCAAAGAAGAGCTCATTATTAGATGCCAAGAGAACATCATAATCCACACTAACCTGCAGAGAAAAAGAAAAATGAAATTGACCAATACTAGGGGTTGTATACAGCAGCAGATAAGAGTGTGGCTTCTTTTTAAATTCAAGCTTTTCAACTTACTAGTTTTGTGACTTTGAAGAAACTAAATAGCATCTTTGTCTCACATTCCTCATTATCAAAATGGAGATAAAATAGTCCCTACCTCGTAAGATTGTCTTAAACATTAAATACGCAAGGGAATATAAATACATGCTTAGCACAGTGTACTTACTCACCAAGTGGGTACTCCCTAAACTTAATATGAGTCTTTCTGACTCAGCATCTATGGAACCTCCGAAGTCTTAAACATAGATTAACTCAATCTATCTTTAGCAAGGGTTGTAAAGCAGATATTATTATCCCCATTTTGTGGAGGAAAGGTCAGGCTCATAGAGAATAAGTGACTGGCTCAAGGTTATAAACTGGCACATGTCTGAAGAGACTATATAGTCTGTGAGTAAGACACCTTTGCTCATTCCATTTGAGAAAAGTACTGTAAAGTTTTCCAGAAAACACAGGGCTCAGAAGTTTTCAAGGGCTATGAATGTCTAGAATGTCCTACTGTATTGCTTCCCTTAAACTCTCAGAGAGAGACCTTCTAACCCACTTCCCAAAGGATGATTTATACACATAATGGCTTCAAATCATTTTTATTTGGAAAAATAAATATGACAACATTAAGAAATAAAACAATGTTATTTAAATTGTAAAAATATAAAGAGAAATCCCATACAAATCAAACTAGAAAGGATATATATCAGAAAGCAAAATTAACACAAACCAAATAGGATATGTATCAGAAAACAAAATTAAAGAGAAAGAAATATCTTAGCAAAGGACAAGAGGACATAGTTGTATTCCTGTGTGAGTCCTTGATCCTCCAGCTTGACTTAATTTTTAATAGTTTATAGTATTATGCACTTACAAACTATGGTATTTTCTTTTATTTCTGACTGAAGCTAATTTGGTTTCATGTAGTAACCTCCAAGATAAAAACTACCTGATGGATCGTTATTTTAAAATCATTAATGCCACTGCCATTACTATGCCTCCAGAAACAAAACCTCTTGATCTATGGCTCTGCATGTTTTTTCAGAGGATTATATGTACACTTTTGAAAACATCACAGACAAAACTCACATAAAAATCTATTTAGAATAGACATAGCCTTTACTACCCAGAGGAATGAGATAATCTTTGGGGAAATATCATACTTATTTGTCTTTGAATAATGAGAAAAATAATAATTTCTATCCTTTTTTTTACTCTTTCATATATATCTACCTTATTTCCAAAGAAATTTCAATCGTTTCCATGGGCTCAATATTTATAGAAACCTGAAAGAAAGCTATGAGTCTTCACGTTAACCTGATATCCCAAACACATATTGACTTAGTGAGAAAACCCAGTTTCTAAACAAAGATATAATGAAAAGGTACTTCCCACAAAGAGATTGTGTAAAAGACATCAAGCATCAAGTTTAGTACAATATTGTGCCAATCCACTGAGAGCCTAGAGTGGCACTTTTGCAATCAAATTAATTGGAAGAGATCAAATGCTTTAGATAAAATATTGTTTTTGTTACTAAATCTACAATCTCTAGAAGTATAAGTAGGTTGTATAGGAGATGAATTTTAAAATCTTACTGAGTGACTACATGTAAATGAAAATCATGCCAAACAACACCACGATGGTCGTGCTTTCCCTTTACTACAATTCCACATCAAACTCTTTTCACATTCCCCAAATACTAATTTTTACTCCAGAATTTATTGACCAATAATGTTATGTTCTAAAAACCCAAAGCATGTTTCATTTAAAAAAAATTATAGGTGACCTTCAAATGAATTTATTATACATGTTTTTCAAGAGATAAATTGATATATTCAGTACTCTAATGTAGCTAATAAAGTTATCATTTTGCAATCGTGACTTAGAAATAATATTGTATTGTCAAAATACTGGGTTAAAGTGTTTTTTTCCATTTAGAATATTTCACATAAGTGGCTTGTAATCCATGTGCAATTTATGATACATTTTCCTTAGGCTTAAGAATATTTTACTGCAATTATTCAAGACAAACCTAATGAGTTTGAATTTCACATCATTTGTATTTCCTGCAAGTTTATATTTATTTCTCTGGCATTCAATCATCTAAAAAATTAATTTATCCAACAAGCACTTATGGAGGGTCTACTAGATACCACTCACTATTCTAGGCAGTTGGAAAATATCAGTGAACAAAGCTGACACGTTTCTCTGCTCCCACGGATGTTATATTCCAGCAAAATAAAGATGGACCAACAACAAACATAAATAAGTTACATAACATGTTAAAAATGTAATAAGTGACATGAAAAATAGCATTTCAAAACTGTATGTTGTCAGTGTGCAATGATTTTCTTTCAGCAAATGAAGATTACACAAGGCAACCAAAATGCTATCTGATAAAATAACTGAATAAGAACTTTATGATTAAAGTGTAAGTATTCCCACAATCCTGACAGCATCCTTGATGATGTCTACTACTCTGAATACAGATTTCTGTTCATCTCTTGGAAGGAGAATAAAGGTCTTTCACTGCCTTTCACTTTCAAATACAAATCCAAAGTCTGGAAATACACAAAGGTGTGTTCTTTTTCTGTTTTTCCCTGCTCTCTGCGTCTTGGGTGGTTGCAGTGACACATGGTTGCAGTGACACATGGCAAAAGCAGCCAAGGTGGACACCAAAGCAGTCTTCTCTTAAATACATTTTTGACAATGTTAACTATACTATTTATTTTTTAGCCTATGTCTTTGACTGCTATGTGAATAAACACTAATTTTCTTGAGATATCAAAGCTTGGAACACACCGTCATTACCTTGATGAGAAACCTCATACCAATATACAAGCATGAGTGAAGTGAGCTCTGTGTATGCAGTCTTCCCCTAAACAGATTGTTCAGCCAAACTACTGGTACCCACAATCTGTAACAATATCTGTATAGACCTAGAAAACTAAAACTTGTCACTGCTCTGTATTCCCTATGAGAAATATATGCTACCTACCTCTGGAATAAAGCAAACTTCCCTTCAAAGCAACCTCAGCTTCAACCCGAAAACATGATGCTTTCCAAAGTCATTGCATTTCACCACACCAAATACGAATTTCTTAATATGACTAGCTAGAAACGTGTCTTCCCCTCAGCATGGTGGTAAATATTAATGTATTCATCACTACAGAGAGGATTTATCACTCTTCAGCATTACCAGATGAATCAGCTTTTCTTTTTTAAAAATGTGTAATATGAACTTTAGGAAAATAAAATTTCAGAGAGGCTTTCAGATATATTCCCTTCTTCTAGATCACATTACATTTTTCCTTACTAAATACACATGTCTAAGTTTATA